TATATTATATAATTAATTAATTTAATTAATTAATTATATTTTTGCTATTCAAATAAACATGGTTAATGGGGCGACTGTGGCTGAGTGGTTAGAGCAGTCGTCCTTCAACGCCAGAGTTGGGGGTTCGACTCCCCTAAGTCACATGCCTAAGTGTCCCTGGGCAAGACACTGAACCCCTCATTGCCTCCGATGTGCGTCCCATCAGTGTATGAATGTGATAAAGCTCTGATTAGTCTCCTTTGAATGATTTGTTCAATTAGCTTTGTAGAGATCTAGTAGAGTGCCGTATGAATGTGTAAATGAGGCACAGATTGTAGTGTAAAGTGCTTTGAGTGTCTGATAAGATAGAAAGGTGCTATATAAGTACAGTCCCATTTAATATAAAAGTGAGTCAGGATTGTGTACAATAGGCATGTTACCAGTCTAAATATAGAGTATCTGTTTCAATAGGCTCAGAGTGTACAAAATATGTTTTTATGACAAAAGTAAACAGATGAAATGAAGACTATGAATTCCACTGTAAGACTAGTTAAGGCTTTTATAGACAACTAATTTGAAATATTTTAGGATTTATGATTTTGCAAATAAGACATTTATTTTCAGCAGAGAAAATATATACTGACCTGTCAGTGTCTTCTTAAGCTCATCTCTGAACTTTTTCACTGATGTTGAATTTCCCCCATTGGTAACATCTAAGTCCACCCAGCTTAAGCCAAACTGAGGATCCAGCATGGTGGCCAAGAAGTAAACATTGTGGTTAAAAGGTTCCTCTCTTCCACTGTCTTTGGCCATGCTTGTTTTTAAAAAGATTCCAGAAAATCTTTTCACCAGAGACTGCTGGAGGGCTCTGACCAATGACTGGCACTGCATTCGAGTGTCCTCCATCTTGAGGAGGTGTGTATTCAAGTCCAGGACAGTTGGAACCACCATACTAATGGTAACTGATTTCTCCCCTTCTGTCAGGTCTGTTACCTCAGAAAATGGAGCAAGAACTGCACTCAGTTCCTTCAGCTGGTTCCACTCACGGGCACTAAACACCAACTCCTCGTGATCCTTGCTGCACATTTCATTCAGGGCTTTGTGGTCCAGAGCTGTGAAGGCCTGTACTTGTTTAAATATACTGTTCCATCGAGTTGTGTTTGCAGCTGGAATGGTCCTATTAGTGCCAAACGTAGCCTCAAACTTGTCTTTGAATTGTGAACTGCTATGCAATAAGGTGGTGAACCGTGATGTTTTGGCTATTGTGTGAGAAATGGCCTTGACCTCCTTCATGCCGTCATTCACAACTAATTGCAGAGAGTGTGCAAAGCAGGAAAGACGTGCACCAGATGACCAGGGTAATTCGGTGTCTTCCTGAGAATTAATGTCCTCCCACAGGTGCTCGTCATCTAAATGCTCCTCTTCACTCTCGCTGTCATCAGATTGGGGCATGTGTACTTTGAAAGCACATTTCATATTGGCAGCATTGTCTGTTATGATATAGCTAATTTTGTCATGGATACCGTATTCCTCTGTGATCTCCTCAAAGGCAGACGCAATGTGCTCTCCAGTATGTCTGCCTGTGAAACGCCTACAGTCCAGCAGGTAGGATTCAAGTGCATAGGAATCCTTTGATTTGTAGCACACGTGGGCGGTCACCCCAAGGAAGGAGCGTAGCCTGCGATCAGACCAGAGGTCAGTTGTTAATGACACAGATGACTGGGTCTTCAGTTTCTCCAAAACAGTTTCCTTGACCTTGATTACCAACTCTGGAATTTGTCTATCAGAAACCGTTTTTCTAGAGATCGGTGTGTATTTACTATCCATAACTTCAAGAAAGTGTTTAAAATGACTGTTTTCCACAAGTGAGAGAGGCAGACAACACCCAATGATCAAATCTTGGACAATGGCTTGACTGATGGCTTGTTGCCTTGGTGATTGTGGGCTGTAGAGCTGCACTTTCTGCGTAAATAATGAAATTGATGGCTGTGTGACTGTGACATCATTCTGTTGCCCTGCCTTGTATTCCAGGAACCTAAAAAATGCAAAGGAGGAATCAGTATATCTGGTCATGAACATCAATTACATCAAAAGAACACTTAAAAATAAGTAGCAACTTCATAAATGTATGTCAAATATATCCTCCATTGTTTATCATAAGCAAAAATTAAACTTAGAAAAATCTAACAAAGTTAAATTGGGTCCTCTGGATGGGTTTAAACAATAAAAAATTATACAAATGTTTTGTCTTTCATCCAAAAGACTTCTTCAATATGAGGAGCTATATTAAACTCAAGAGCTACATTTTCAGGCCAAGACTCTGCGGTCTACACTCATCTCCAGACCAGCGGTCACTCTTTCAGGGATGAAGATGTTCACATCCTTGATAGAGAGGAACGATGGTTTGAGAGAGGAGTAAAGGAGGCCATCTTTGTGAAAAGAAACCATCCATCTTTAAACAGAGGTGGAGGCCTCCGGGTTCAACTGTCCCCCTCTTACAATGCTGTTATTGCTAGTATCACTCAGCCCCCGGTGAAGGCAAGCAGCCATCAGTGTGCTAATGATCCATTGTTAGGCTGATGGTCCTCCTTGAACATGTGAGCAGCTAGTTTCATCAACAACAAACGGTTGGTCCACTGTGAGGAGGCACTATTTATAGGGCTGAGCTGAATGCAGCTCCTCAGCCTGAGGAAGTCTTTCGGACGAAAGACGAAATGTTTCTACCTTTTATTTTTACTTTTTTAACACGCCCAGAGGACCTGATTTAACTTTTTAAGATTTTTCTACCTGTGTGATTGAGCATGCATCAGGACATATTAAACACAGTTAGCATCTTCTCACAGTGGATCAACCAGTTTGCCAAATATGTTAAGGGAGACCATCAGCCTAACAATGAATCGTTGGCACCCTGATGGTTGCTTGCTATTCACAGGGGGCTGAGTGATACTAACAATATCAGCGATGTAAGAAGAAGACAGTCCCTCTTACAATGAAGTCTTTTGTTAAGAAGTCAAGTAGTCTTTTGGATGAAAGATGAAACGTTTCTACATTTTGTTACCACATGCCCTGTCCCCTCAGTCTCTCAAAGTTAACAGTGAATTTGTCCTTATGCATGCTCAATAACCCAGGTAGAAAAATTTAAAAAAGTTAAATCAGGTCCTCTGGGAGTGTTAAAAGAAAAAAAAGGTAGAAAAAAGCTGTGCAGATAATAATCTACTTTTTTTCTTTTAACACACACTCAGAGGACCTGATTTAACTGTATGTAAACAGTGAATTTGTTTACTTCCCTTAATATGTTAATTATATCAGTGTTATAAAGTAAAACTCATTTAAGGGCTAAACAAAGCAGGTCTGAGTCTGACACACATGAATTAATTTAGATGTATTTACATTTGATGTCGATGAATTACTTTTTCAACTTTTTGTCCCTTATTTTAGTATTTGTGATGCATGCTTTGGTATTTGTTGTTGTTATTTTTTTGTTTGTTTTTGGCGAGTCAAGACTGTTTTTCTCGTCCTAAGCAATTCACTGCATTGTTGTCGACCTTGTGTTGATTTTGCATATGACAAATAAACCATACTTGATAAAACGTTCTGTTTGTATTGTTCTTGGAAGAGAGGCAGATTGATAACGTTAACTAGCTAGCTTTACTAGCATCACTTACACAAAGCTGCTGCGCTTACCTTTCTTTGTGCTTCCTTTCCAGGTGTCGATAAAAGTTGGATGTAGTCCCGACAGTCTCCGAAAGTGAAGCGCTGCAGAACTTGCATTGCGCCGTGTGCTTTTTTTTCAGAGTTGTTTTGCAAACATACTCTTTGTGACTCAAATAGCCAAACTTTATAACAGCAGATTTAGAAGACATCTTCTCTTGTTCTAAACACAAACAAGTCTAACTTTTCTTCCCTGACGCTTGCGAGTGAAAGGAGGTGGGCTCGGTGTTGCCAGATAGAGTCGAGATTTTCCAGCAAAAAATTGGTTAAAAACCGCAACATCACACAAAAACCTGCACAATCTATATTTGTTACAGTATATTTACTTTTTGAACACAAACCCACATCAGTACAAGCCAAGGTAATTTAACAATATGTGGCAAAACGGAACAGTCCAACAAAAATCTTCCCAGAGTTCCCAGCAAAATCAGAACGAAAACTGGCCAATTGGCAGTAAACCACCCAATCTGGCAACACTGGAGTGGTAACAAAAACATGTAGCTAGCTGCTATGAGTCACGTTATCGCTTGAATTTGAATCGGTATGTTTTGCATCCAGTAAAAGCAAAGATGTTAACAAATAAACTGGACAATATTCTGGCAATTTAGTGATATTTTCACAGTTGTGGTCTTGACTGGTCTTGAAAAAAAATCCCGAGTCCTCAATGTCCGAGACCGTGACAAGACCGAGACCAAATGCGGTCGAGACCGAGACGAGACCGAGACCGTCAAAAAGTGGTCTCGAGACCGGTCTCGAGACCAAGACCGGTCTCGAGTACTACAACACTAGATATCAGCATTTATTTTGGGTCAGGCCGAGCTCTGTTAACGTCCATCTGCCCTTACAGTCTCACTAGTAGAACTCATGGCGACTCCAAACAGCCAAACTTTAATTACATACGCCGAGTTGAGCTTCCAACTTCTGCTAGATTTAATTCTGTGAGAGTAGCACTTGCTGCAGCTTCCAAGATGGCCGCCAATCACCCCCAGCTGACGGCCATCTCCCTGATGAGCTCCTGCTCCTATTTAAGCCTGCAGTCAAGTCTACTCGACGCTGGAGCATTGAGTTCCCCCGGTACTTAATGTTTCTAGCCATTTAGTGTTTCATGGAATACAAGTCTTACCTTGTGATCTTGTTTCTGCAGTTCTTCGTCACCTCCTGGGTCCAGTCCTGATTCCACGTGTTCCAGCTCTCAGATCTCTCGTGCCTTGCCCAAGCTCTGATCTCTCGTGCCTATCCACTCAGTCTCTGGGAGTTATCATCCTGTTCTGGAACTGCTGCACAGTGCCTTGATCTCACCATCTCCTCTGGAAACTCTGGGATTCTCTTGGATCCACTTCTACAAGAACCGCCAAATGTAAGATAAGAAAACTAATTACAAGTTTGAACCAAACAACTACCTGCCCCAGCTGAACTTGTCCTCCGTTTCCAGGAGTTACAGTCCTGATGCCTGTGCAGCCAAATTATCACTGTAAATAAATAAACACTGTTATTTTTACTCTGAGTCTTGTGTCGTTCCGGGTCTCGTTCTATTGGGTCACTCCTGAGACGTCACAAATTCAATTCATTCAGTTTATTTATATAGTGCCAAATCACAACAAAGTTGTCTCAGGGCACTTTACAGAAATATTCACATACATAGAAAAGCCAATTAGTAAAGTTCTATATCTAAGGAAGCAAGCTGTGAGAGTAGCTCTGCTGCAGCTCCCAAGATGGCCGCTAACGACCTACACCTGGCGGTCATCTCCCTGATGAGCATCGACTCCTATTTAAGGCTGCAGCCAAGACTACTCGATGCTGGAGCTTTGATTCCCTCCCGGTACTAGTGCTCTCAGCCTTTTATGTTCTCAAGTATTTGTGATACTGAGCTTGTGCTTCCTATGCCAGCAGTTCCTCGTTTTGGCCGTTCCATTCCTGTCCTGATCTCTCGACATCCTGTCTGGTCTCACGAAACCCGGACCTTTGGACCTTGGATATCTGAACCCTGTTGCTGGGACTCATGCATCTTGGGACTCCTGAACTCACTCCAGTACCGAAGAAGCTGTAAGACAGAAACAACTAATATCAGATCCTTTTCTCCTGTGTCACTTACCTGCTCCCGACCTGAACAAACTATTTCCCTCTTCCAGGAGTTCCAGTCCCAGGGCCCTGTATATATTGTATATATTTTCTATTCACTGTAAATAAACATCACTTTTCGTAGCCTGAGTCTTGTGTCGTTCTGGGTCTCGTTACAACTGGGTTGCCCGCACCTACAACACAAGCAGGCTCGTTGAATCTTAATTTTGTCACAGTCTCCCATCCTGAGCAAGCACAATGGCAACAGCCAGCAGTCAATGGTCGTTTTCACACTAGATAGTCCGGTAGACTCGGTTCGGTTTGGGACCAATATTCATGAGCTTTTGTTTACATTTGAGATGGTGAGTTTGAGTTTGTGCAGTTGAGTCAACCTTTTGAACCAACCTATTCCTCCGCTCGCCTGTGGGGGCGCTGCACCAAGAACTACTGAAAGAAACGACACAAAAACCTCTGAAGACATGTCTTCTTCTTATTCTGTAAATAAAAATAAAAACAAAGTGGCATCAAGTTTTAGCAGTTTTAGGAGTTATATTGTGTCATTTTTCAAAAATGGACTTAGCATGAGCAGAAGGTGAGACAGAAGACCATGGAGAATTTTATTTTTCACACAAGGCAGCTGACGGCTCCATATAAGGTCAGAGCAATGCGTGTTTGTTTACCATGCCGAGCGGGGCTTGGTCTGTTTACATTCACACTGTACTTGACCCGCGCTAGAGTTCGCTTCTACCGGACCGAGACCTAGGTTTTAGCCCGGGCCAGAGTTCGCCTTTTTGTTCCGTGACAGAGTTTGATGGTGCGTTCACACATCCCTAAACGAACAGGACTTTCAAGGAAAACGAGCTAGAGTTCGATTAAAGCGGACTAAACAGGGCTAGTGTGAATGCACCCTAAGCCTATAGCAGCATAACTCAGGACAGCTCAGGAAACCCAACCCCACCCTAACTATAGGATTTAGCAAAAAAGAAAGTCTTAAACCTAGT